TGCCAAGAACCTACAACCAAGATTACTTTATCCAGCAAAGCTATCATTCAGAAGTGAAGGTCAGATAAAGAGCTTCACAGATAAGGAAAAGCTAAAGGAGTTCATCACCACCAAACCAGGATTATATGAAATGCTGAAAGGTATCCTATAAGAAGAGGAAGAGGAAGAAAAAGGTAAAGATACAAATTATGAACAACAAATACGCATCTATCAACAAGTGAATCTAAGAATCAAGTGAATAAATAATCTGATGAACAGAATGTACTGGTGATTATAATAGAATCAGGGACATAGAAAGGGAATGGACTGACTATTCTTGTGGGGGGAAGGGGTGTGGGAGATGCGGGAAGATACTGGACAAAAATCGTGCACCTATGGATGTGGGGAGTGAGGGCAGGGGTGGGGTGGGAACTGGGAGGAGGGGAATTATGGGGGGAAAAAAGAGGAACAAATGTAATAATCTGAACAATAAAGATTTAATTAAAAAAAAAAAATAATATGTAAGGGGCGAGAAAATACAAAGAGAAATGCTGATACTTTCTCCTTGTGCTCTAATTGCTTTGTGCACCTCTCTCTCTTGAGGTGGAAGCCTACCATTTGGAGACCACTGAGCTCACGGTCTTAGCTTAGCTTGAAACTACATGAAACATTTTAAAAATGTATTGTTTATTTAGAAGGGCTCTAATGGACTTATGGATATTATGGTGGGAATTCAAAGCCCCTTCAAACCATCCTGAGGTGCTACCACTGCCTTGATCAGTAAATTCTCATACGGGGAATTTTATTTTTCCATTTTGTTTTTTGTTTGGCTCTCTCTCCCTATACAAGTATTGATAACTATATTTTAATTAACCTCCTTAGCAGATCTCAAAAACAAGATTGTTGTAGCCCTAGCTGGTTTGGCTCAGTTGATAGAGCATCAGCCTGCAGACTGAAGGGTGCCGGGTTCAATTCCAGTCAAGGGCACATGCCTAGGTTGTGGGGCTGATCCCTAGTAGGGAACATGCAGAAGGCAGCTGAACAATGATTCTCTCTCCTTTCCCTCTCCCTTCTTCTCTGAAATCAATAAAAAATATTTTTAAAAAGATTGTTAAGAATACTTACATTACCAAACTTATCCTCTAGTCAATGATGGCGTTTTTATTTAAAAAAACACTGCAGAGTCTCAGTAATTTGATACTTGGTATGTTGTTTTTCAGCACCCTACATTTAGTGATACAACAATCACAAGGCATTGGATTTCAAAGCTTGAAAACACTTAGAAAGTTTATTATATATATAGTTTATTTTATATTGAGCTGAAATCTGGTCCCTAGTCAATTCTACCCACATCTCTTCCCTTTGGTCTTTTTTTTTTTAAAACATATTTTATTGATTTTTTACAGAGAGGAAGGGAGAGAGATAGAGAGTTAGAAACATCGAAGAGAGAGAAACATCGATCAGCTGCCTCCTGCACAACTCCTACTGGGGATGTGCCCGCCACCAAGGTACATGCCCTTGACTGGAATCAAACCTGGGACCCTTCGGTCAGCAGGCTGATGCTCTATCCACTGAGCCAAACTGGTTAGGGCCCCTTTTTGATTCATGCTAAATATTTATCAGCTCCTCATTTGACATGTATTTGAGTCCTTGAACCATTCTAATCTCTCTCCTCTAAGTATACTCCAATTTCCCAACGTCCTTCCTAAGGCATAACATCCAAAGCTGATCAGAATGCTACAGATGTGGTGAAGCTAAATATCTTGAAACACTTCGAAAAGCCATATATTTTTCTAGAATCATTCCCAATTACAAACTACAATGGATCTACTTCGGGGGGGGGGGGAGAGAAGGCGGGAACTAGGTGGTTGAGGGATAGTGGTGAAAGGGAGACTTACTTTCTAAACTTATTTTAAAAATTAAGCAGAAGGAAAGATTATAGTTATGAACTTTCTCCTGGACAAATGTCTAAGTTTGTTAATCACATTTTTAAAATATATTTTTATTGATTTCAGAGAAGAAGGGAGAGGGAGAGAGAGATAGAAACATCAATGATGAGAGAGAACCATTGATCAGCTGCCTCCTGCATGCCCCACAATGGGACCAAGCCCGCAACCCAGGCATGTGCCCTTGACCAGAATCGAACCTGGGACCCTTCAGTCCGAAGGCCAACACTCTATCCACAGCCAAACTGGCCAGGGCTCATCAAAATATTTTTTGTGAGACAACTATTATCTACCTCTGTGTTAGGTTCTCTGAAGACACCAAAAGAGAAATAAAACACAGTTTTGTCCTTGAGAAATTTACAATTCAGTTAGGAAGAATGCCCATATACTGTGATACAGGAGAGTAAAAAAGAAAAATGGAGGGTGACAGATGCTAAAATGAGGAGGAACATAAGGAGATGGTAATATTTCAAAGGAGACTTTTACCTGCAGGGGGAAAAAATACAGTCTTAGGAGCTTAGCAGGAGCTAAGTCTGCCTAAGTATGTAGGGCTAGAAACATTATCAACTTATTTGCCAAAGCATTCCTAATGGCAAAGAAGCTTAAAAACACTCTTCTGGAAAATCCAAAGCCTAGTAAGCATAAAACTATTTTTGAAGTTTGTGTTTTATTGTAAAATGTTATTCAAATTTTACATTTTTCTCTTTAATAAAATCATATTTTAAAAATATAAAAAGTTTTAAATTACTGAACTCTCAAATAATATATAGGTTCCAGGAAGATATATAGTATTTCACTCAAGGATATGTATACCCCAGTTTGAGAAGCATGGGCTAAACAAAAGAGAGTCACTGTACATTCTTAAGCATTGAAAAGACATGATAAAAACAGTGTGTATGAAAGGCTGTGTTTGACGCTGTGTGCCAGGATAATTGGAGGGGGTAAAAAGAGACAGGAGATAGGGCAACTCAAAAAGAGAATAGATGACAGTAACTCAGATATGCAAACAGACCAAGTGCCCATCAGTAGATGAGTAGATAAAAATAGCTGTGGTACGGACATCAACCAATGAACTTGTACGCATGTATACATGACCCGTGGACAAAGACAATGGGGTAAGGACCTAGCAGGGGGAGGAGGATGGCACCGGGCTGGAAGAGGCTAATGGGAGGAAAAAGAGAACCTATGTAATACTTTCAACAATAAAGATTTTTGGAAAGAAGCTATAGTACATATATACAATGGAATACTATGAGGCTATAAAAAAGAAGGATCTCTTACCCTTTGCAACAGCATGGAGGCACCTGGAGAATATCATGCTAAGCTATATAAACCAGTCAGAGAAAGATGAGTATCACATGATCTTACTCATCTGTGGAATCTAATGAACATAATAAACTGATGAACAAAATAGGTTCAGGGACATAAGAAGCATGGAACAGGCCAACAGATCTGAGCAGGGGTGGGAAGAAGAGATGAACCAAAGAATACATATGCATATATGCATAGCCCATGGACACAGACAATGGAGTGGAGAAGGCCCGGGGTGGGGTGGGGTCTGGGTGGAGGGGGGGCAAAGATAGGGAAAATTGGGGACATCTGTAATACTGTCAATAAATAAATGAGAGAATAGATTGATGGAGGTGAAGCCGAGGAAAGGGGCACAATGGTGCTCACCTGATCCGGCATTTTTGCCATCCCCTCCAATGAGTGGGACTGTAATGGCGGCAGGGTTCCCATCCGCCGGCAAAGCAGTATACACCATGGGCAGCGATTGGACCACTACTGGGATGGTCTTCAGGCCACTCATTTTGTTTGGCAGACTGACTGAGGGGATGGTGTGAATCACATGGAAGATCTGCTGGCCACCAGTGCCCTGAGAGGAGGCCAGAATAGAGCCTGGAGTCAGAACGGCAGGGATGTTTGCTAAAGTGCCTGCATCAGATGTCGAAGTGGACACTACAGGAGTCTGGGGAGCAGGCTGCGGCTTGGGAGGACGGATGGGCGCTTGCAGCATGCTGGCAGGCTGGAGAGGAGCCTTGGGCTTGTGAAGGGAGAGGTCGACTGGTTCCACCTGGGGCAGACTGAAATCATTGGCCAGAAGTTCTTCTGGAGGCTCGATCTTGATGTCGTTAAACAGTGCTGGGTTCTCCATGGGGTTGGCATCCAGAAATGGTAGAGATGTCATATTGCCTCTGCCTGCTGTCTTTGGGGGATCTCTGATTGGAACAGAGCCAGTGACCTGAAATAAATTAATAAACAAATGAGAGATGCAAAGCAGTCACTGCTAGTGCCCTGAAGAAGAGACATGCGAGCAATGAAAGGAAGATATCTCCATTCTCTTCTCACAGACAGAATATATAAGGAATTGGAAGAAATGAAGCAGGAGTACATTAAAGAGGGAAAAGGGACACTTTCCTAAGGATCGGTACTAGGCACTGTATCAGGCAATTGATACAAATTGTTTTACAATAATCTTTATAATAATTCTGCAAGATTAATTAAAGTCAACACTTTCTAAGTATCCACTATAAATACTGGGCTAAGTCCACTGAGGGCACATATGAATGAGGTATAACCAAAAGTACTAATATACTAACTATAATGATAGAATGATGTGAGTAGTTTATAAGTCATACCATAGTGAGCGATGCAGCAGACATATAAACAAGGTGTTTCAGAAAAGGAAAATGGAGCCCGGCCAGCATGGCTCAAGGGTTGAGCATCGACCTAGGAACCAGGAAGTCATGGTTCTGTTCCCAGTCAGGGCACATGCCCGGGTTGTGGGCTTGATCCCCAGTGTGGGGGTGTACAAAAGCAACTGATCAATGATTCTTTCTGATCATTGATGTTCCTCTCTCTCCTTCCCCCTTCCTCTCTGAAATCAATAAAAATATTTTTAAAAGAGCACGAAGAAGCATCGATGTTTCATCTATGTCATTTAGTCAGGCTGCCATCTGCTTTCTCCCTCTGCTAGGCTATGGCACTCTTGGTTTTTTTCATTTTCAATCCCGCATCTCAACTCAGGCCTTGTTCGGGGTCCAAATATTGCTTCAATCTGCTTCTCTAAGACATGACTCTGTGATTTGTCCCACTGTTTCACATACTTCTAAATTACGCCATCCCTCATGGGTGGATACACTCCATCCAGGTAAGGGAGCAGTAGAATCCTGTTGGTGGTGGGGAGGAGGGAGGATAGGGAGAGGAAGTTGTCAAAAAATGGCTCTGTTTCACTTAAAAATTCCTTGTCCTCTGAATCGCCAAATCAACTTAAACTCTTATTTTTCCCACATCCCCCATATCTCTCTTCACCTGGCTAGTCCCCTTCCCAGATTAAAGAGGCAGAATACTAGGAATTTTTAAGAACAAACAGGAAGAAGTATTTCTTCTTATAGTCTCTCTCTCATGACTATCAATTTTGAGAAATAAAGTTACAACAGAAAGCATAAGAAGAGGTTAAGTGTAGTATCACTTTCCACAAGAATATAGACTGTGGGTGTCAAGAACAAGTAATAAGCAAAACCACATGAGTGACTGATACAGGTAACTTAGCATTCCAGGAGCTCAAGTATACTAGAGATCAGGGAGAGTTGGAGTTATCGGTGAAAGTTTTATGAAATAAATGGAATTGGAATTTGGATTCTAAGGAAAGTGTGGGATTTGGTAAATCAGACAGACTGAAGCACGTGCCAGGCAGAAAGAATGGCATAGGGAAAGGTATCACTAAGAATCTTTTAGAATTGTATGACCCAAATAGTTAATATTACAGAGATATTATTAATTTTCCTGGTTGTAATAGTGTTGATGTTGTTAGGTAGGAAAAAGTCAATATTTATAGGTGATACATACTAAATTATTATTATTTTAATGTATATATTTTTATTGATTTCAGAGAGGAAGGGAAAGGGAGAGAGGAAACAGAAACATCAGTGAGGAGAGAGAATCATTGGTTGGCTGCCTCCTGCACGCCCCCTACTGGGGATCAAGCAGCAACCCAGGCATGTGCCCTTGATGGGAATCGAACCTGGAACCCTTCAGTCCACAGGCTGACGCTCTATCCACTGAGTCAAACCGGCTAGGGCACATACTGGATTATTTAGGAGTGAAGTTCCTTGATGCAAATTGCTTTCAAAGGTAAGAAATGAGGAGAAAGAAAGAGAGAGAGGGAGAGAGAGAGAGAGAGAGAGAGAATGAAAATGCGAAAATATATGCCAAAATGTTAAGAGTAATAAATTGGAGGGAGGAGACATATATACTAAAATATGAACTCTAAAGCTGCTCATACACTTGGTCCAAGAAATTGTACTTTCAGGAAATAATCAGAAACTAGAAACAAAGGGCAGGTGACAACCAAGTGCTCATTCATTGGTGATATAAGAATTTGAAGAAGGGGGAGCAGCATGTGTGTACCGAGCTAGAGAGCCACCCATCGATCCTACCTCATGACATAAACAAATCATACAATGGACCAAACCAGGAGGCTTCTGCCCACTAGGATGTGGCCAGCACAGTCTTGTTACAGAATACAAGCTCTGGGTCTTTGTCCCCTGGGGCCTGACCAGTGTTCTGTGGCCATGTACCATAAGCACCTTTGCTGTACTACAACCAAGGTATCTTGGAAATGACAAGAAACAAAAAAACAAGTGCTTAGATCATGTACTATCCAGAATTTCTACACATTGAACCAATTTCAAAGTGCTTCAAATTCTGGAACCTTAATATACTTAAACAGTACATTGAAAAACATTTTTCAAACTGTACTTAGGTGTACAGAGATTTGAAAATAAGATAGTTATGCATGCATGCTTGACAACATTTCACTATTTTTTATTACAAGTTGAATAGATTTTTCTCTAACACTTACACTCAGCTGCCCCCCCCTTTTTTAAATCCTTACCCAAGGATATTTTTCCATTGATTTTTAAAGAGGAAGGGGGTGGGGAGGGGAGAGAGGAAAACATTGATGTGAGAGAGACACATCAATTGGTTGCTGGTAGGTTGAGGGATCGAGCCTGAAACCTAGGTATGAGGTATGCGCTTTTGACCTGAATCAAACCCGGGCCCTTCAGTCCATCAGGGCTCAGCTTCCTTTTAGTATTAACTATGACTAAGAGCCAGCAAACAGCAGATGTTTTGGAATAATTAGCAAGTGTTTATATGCTAATAGTCCCCAAATGGCCACAGCTACAAATATCATTAAAACAGTACAAAGGCATCATATGTACATGTAAACTTAAACAAATTCAATTGTACACCAAGGGCAAAACATTTAATGATTAAAAACATATTCATAAGCCAGATACTTTATCTGGTGACTTTTAAAAAAGGGATCTGGCCAAGCTGGGATGGCTCAGTGGTTGAGCGGGGACATATGAACCAGGAGGTCATAGTTTGATTCCCGATCAGGGCACATGCCCAGATTGTGGGCTTGATCCCCAGAGGGGACGTGCAGGAGGCAGCAGATCAATGATTCTCTCTCATCATTGATGTTTCTATCTCTCTCTCTCCTTCTCCCTTTCTCTTGGAAATCAATAAAAATATATTTTACAAAAGTAAAAAAAAGATCTATACTGGATATATAAAACTATATACTTAATTTTATAAGGAATTTAAGAGGTTTTTAAGGGTAACTTTTACTGTATTTGGGTTTCACATATGCAACAACTTTAGAACTTAACCATGAGCAAAATGGGACTTCCACATCTAACATAGAGTGCTTGGCTATAAAAAACATAATCTGTTTTGCCCTGGCTGGTGTGTTCAGTGGTTAGAGCATCAGCCCGTACTTGGAAGGGTGGGGAGTTCAATTTCTAGTCAAGGGCATGTACCTGGGTTTCAGGTTTAATCTCTGGCTCCAATAGGCCATGTGCCAGAGGCAGCCAATCTATATGTCTTTCTCACATTGATGCTTCTCTCTCTCTTTTTGTCTCTCCCACTCTCTCTCTGAAAAGCAATGGAAAAAATATCCTCGGGTAAGGATGAACAACAACAACAACAAAACATAATCTGTTTTGAATCCTTGCTGTGGGGACACCCAAGTTCACAATTTTCTTATCTGTAAAATTGAAACATTAAGAATACCGCCCTGACCGGTGTGGCTCAGTGGATAGAGTGCCGGCCTGTGGACTGAAGGGTCCCAGGTTTGATTCCTGTCAAGGGCATGTACCTTGGTTGCGGGCACATCCCCAGTAGAGGGCGTGCAGGAGGCAGCTGATTGATGCTTCTCTCTCAGCGATGTTTCTAATCTCTATCCCTCTTCCCTTCCTCTCTGTAAAAAATCAATAAAATATATGTTTTTTAAAAAAGAATACCTATCTGTGATGGTTAATTTTATGTGTCAATTTGGCTGGGCCACAGTGCCAAGATATTTGGTCAAATGTTATTCTGAATGTTTCAGTGAAGGTGTATTTTGGGTTGGGATTAATATTTAAAGCACCAGACCTTGAGTAAAGCAGATCACCCTTCATAATGTAGGTTGGCATCATCCAACCACTTGAAGGCCTTAATAGATAGACTGACCTCCTTCAAGCAAGAAAGAATTCTTCCAGCAGACTGCCCTTGAACTCAAACTTCAACTTTGCTTTGGCTCTCCAGTCTGCCAGCCTACCCATTAGATTTTGGATTCACCAAGATTCCATTAATAATGAGAGCCAATTCCTTAAAATATTTTTTCTCTCTCTTTAGATAAATAGATGATAATAGATAGATAGATAGGTAGATATCTTGATATATATAAAACAAAATTTATCTATATCTACATATCTATCTATACCGAAAGAGAGAGAAAGAGAGAGAGAGAGATTGAGACATACACATTCTGTTGTTTTTCTCTAGAGAACCCTTACTAATACACTACCCAACAGAGTTATTATGAAGATTAAGTAAGACAATGCATTTAATCTCAGAGTGCCTGAAATATGGAATAGTGCTAGATAAATGATTGCTGTTTTATACCCATCTTCCCCCTATTGCCTTAATCCCAGAGACCATGTTTCTTTAAGGCCAGATCTACTCCCTATTTGAATCTGAAGACTGAGCATTCAGGTACTTCTTACAAACCTCCCTTCTTCATCCCTTCTCAGTCCTCAATATGTTGTCAGAAAGAAAAATGATCTTCAGCTCGATAATGATTATGAGGCACTCAACAGTATTATGGCACGATATTCGTATCTCTTTTTCCTGATAACTGACCTGTTTGAATACATGCATTGAGCTACCTTCTGAATTAAGCTGGGCCTTCAAGTTGTTTATGAATTGATCCATATCTGGAAAAGAGACAAGAGAGAGATAATTTTAAAATAGGATCTAACCCACTATATACACATGCAATACGTCATTTATTCTTGGTTACACCTGTTTGTGTTTTTATTAACATGATTTCTCAAGATTTACTAGATACTGAGAAGTCAGCATTTGGACAACATTCTAATTTATATATTATGTTCATCAAGATGGCCCTGGCTTGTCCCCAATAATATGAGCTGCCCACTCCCCTCAAATTCTGTATTCATGTGAATGTTTCTTCGAATCTCTCCAACCCACCATAGGAATATCAGCATAGCTACATAGGTTCCAGAATGCTCCCCTTCTTGGCCTAGCTCTCATTCTAAGACAGTGATGGCGAATCTATGACACGCATGTCAGAGGTGACACACGAACTCATTTTTTGGGTTGATTTTTCTTTGTTAAATGGCATTTAATATATAAAATAAATATCAAACATATAAGTCTTTGTTTTACTGTGGTTGCAAATATCAAAAAATTTCTACATGTGACACGGCACCAGAGTTAAGTTAGGGTTTTTCAAAATGCTGACACGCCGAGCTCAAAACGTTCGCCGTCACTGCTCTAAGGAGTCCCATGCTCCTGTATGGATATTTACCCTAGTGAACTTGTTCACACATTAGCATCAATTCTCACTAAAGGAATATTTTCTCTTTCTACCTCTCTTTAACATACAAGCCAGGTGGAGTTAATATGAGCAATCTTTTATTTCCCTGTTAGATAGATTTTCCTCCTACGAAAAAAAGATACTTGGTGGCCTCATTCAGCTGCCCTGCACCATCACAATCATCCCCACCGGAAGCACATACCAGCATCTCTTTTACCAGATTTCCTTTGATCTATTTACAGGCTAATCTCACTAGAGAGGAAAGCACAGGGCGAGGTAGATGAATCCACAGCTTGCTTATGACTTAATTGGTCAGATTTCAGATTTCGCTAAGTGTCTCCAATTCAATTACAATTAGTTTCTTCATTTATGATCTGGTTGCATTTCAAAAGGTTGTCCTTAATCAGTTAATTGCTTTGCTCAACAAATACATTTACCTATAGAAATGTTCATTTACAGGTCACTTCACTATAGCCATTTAAGGCCAAATGCAGTTCATATACAACAAATGCACAGTTAGCAGGAATAGAAAATTATAATACGACCACACACAAAGTAAAATATAATTCTAAACACAATTCCTTTATTTATTGAAAGTCAGGAATGGAGGAAACAAGTCCCAATTGAGTGGCAATAATAGACAAAGAATCTTCTATTGGGATTGTGAGAAAACTTCTGAGACACCAGCAAGAGTTTGGAGAATTTTAACGATTTAAAATATCACCAATTTACTCTCAAAGTACATAGATTTTTTTTTCTTTGTTCCAAGTATATGAGTAGAACTACTCACATATACATCCATCATTCACCAAATCATCTCTGCATAATTACTGTTAGAAGTTATAGTAGGCAAGTTGTTATCAGTTTTTGATCTGGGTCAACCAGATATGGAGAGTCAGCAAGTACAGCAGAGAGCACTGACCTGGGAGTTAAATGCCCACAAATCACATCCCATAATCTTTGCCAAGGCCTTTTTCTTTCTAAGCTTTAACTTTTCCGTCTAGAATTTAAAATTTTCAAACTGTTCTCTGCAAAGTCATAAGGCATCTGAGAAGTCTCTTGGGGGTGGAGGTGGGGTTCATGGAGGAAGATGTGTAGTAAAGAATTAGCATAGAAGTCAGATGCAAAAAAACTGTATTTTCCATTAGACTGTAGGTTCTTTGCAGGAAGAGATTTTCATCTTTGATGTTTCTTCCAGTGATGTATTTCAAGGGTTTAGGACAGTGCCTGGCACGTGGTACGTGTTCAATACATTTCCCAAGGTTTTTGATGAGTGACAGAAAAGGGGAATGAGGAAGCGTGTTTTCTCGAGTACAGGAGTTAGACAAGAATAGAAAAGAATAAAAGAAAATTAGACAGGTTATGTATGAGAGATGTTTGACATGCAATTAACTATGAAGTATAATGTGCCAGAGACGGTAGTTTATTGTGATTTCAAGGAGGAGTGAAAAAGGAGGTACAACAGTAAAAAAAGAATGTTAGGTCAGATAACTCTCATATAATCCAGAGGAGGGCACCATGAAGTCAGGAGCACTTGCTTGGTTGCTGCCAGAAAAAATCTGGAGGAGAGTGAAGAGAATTCCATTCTTCTTCTCCATTCACATATTCTTCAATTAGGCCTCATTAGTCCTATCTGGGGCAACTTATTAGATAAGAGCCATCTACTATTTGGTCTTCCTCAATCCCTGTGGATTATGAGACAGCAGGGTTGAGGGAGCAAAGTGACTTTGATAACCTATTTAGCCCCTATTAAACCTCAGTTTCTTCACCTGCCAAGGAAAGGGGTTATGATACTGATTTAATAGGTTTAATGTGAGAATTCCATGAATCAGTACATGCAAATGTACTTCTTTACATATGAAAAGTTCTCAATATAATTAATTATTATTAAAGTTACCCCCATTATTATTGTTGATGGCCATGTTTAGGTCTGGCCCAGAAGGGTATCTCCTAGGCATCAAATAGTTCTTTCATAAGCTAAGTGTGCTCACAAACCTTCTCTTCCTCTTATATTTATAATCTCAATTTATAGGACCACCATCAACCCCGTCTCAATCTAAAAACCTGAGGGCCAGTTACTTTTGACTCCTCTCTCTCCATCTCCAGCCATTTGGTTATCAGCTGCAATAAATTTTATCGAAGAAATATCTCTTAAACCTGGCCCTTCATCTTTTCCCAGTCACTTCCCCTTTTAGTCCATTCTCCCACAATGCAACCCAAGTGTGGTAAAAACATGTGGGATCTGGACTGAGCACCTAGGGTCACATCCCAACTCTGCAACTTCTTAACGGTAAGACTCTGGGTAAGTTTCTCCACACCTCTGTGTCTGTTTTCCCATCTGCAAAATGAGAACAATAATAGTACCAGCTCATAAGGTTGCTGTAGTTATCAAGTTAATATGTGTTCAAGTGTTTATAGTATCTTGTACAAAGAGGCAACATCAGGTGAGCTCCTCAGTAGGTACCTAGTCTTGTTCCTCTCTGTGTCCCTGTTTTTTAGCAGAGTATCTCCTCCATGTAGTGTGCTAATGCCCAATGAATGAATGATCATAGGAATAAGGAAGGTTATTTAATAACAATAATCTATCTATATATATATATATAAGCCAAAGTGACCGTCCAACTGGTAGTTTGGATGCACACTGACCACCAGGAGGCAGATGCTCCGACTGGTAGCTATGATGTGCACTGACCACCAGGGGGCAGACACTCGATGCAGGAGCTGCGGAGCAAGAGCAACTTTGCAAGAGTGTCCTTTCACACACTGGGACCCCTCAGGGAATGTCAGGCTGTCGGTTTCGGTTAGATCCCCGCAGGCCAGGCCAAGGGACACCACCTGCCGGAGGGATTCTGCTTACTCCACAGATGCCCTTCGAGCCCTGGCACCGCCCCAGGTGGCTGGGAGAGGGACCGAGGGAGGTTGGCTCCAGGGCATGTCCAGCCCAGCTCACCCAGTCCCACCCCACTTGCCACCTTCTAATTAATTTACTTTCAATGTGCACGAATCCATGCACTGAGCCCCTAGTATACTATAATAATCAATAATATTAATATTTAAAGTAGCAATAATCAAGGAGTCTGAAAAATACTTCCTGTCCAAACTGCATTAAAAGTATATTAGTCATTAAATAAATAAAAATATATTTTTTTAAAAAAGGATGTTAGTCAGCCCGGCCAGCATGCTCAGTGGTTGGATGTTGACCTATGAACCAGGAGGTTCGATTCCCAGTCAGGGCACATGCTCAGGTTGCAGGCTCAATCCCCAGTGGGGGGTGTTCAGGAGGCAGCCAATCAATGATCCTCTCTCATCATTGATGTTTCCCTCTCCCTCCCCCTTGTTCTCTGAAATCAATATAAAATTTTTTTACGTATATTAGTCAAATGGCCTAAGCTGACAATCAGGAATGTCTCAACCATTTTTGCTAACTGCACATTCACCCAAAAGATAGTCAGTTGGAGTTGCCATTAGATAACCATGGACAACACTCTAAATGTTGGTAGGAGTGGATATAGAGAAAGCTATCAGAAATGTGTATAACCTTGTCTTTTAAAAATGTTTTATTTAATATTTTAGCTAGCAAAAATTTTAAAAATTGGGGCCAACAGAATGGTTTTAAAGAATGCTCAGGGTTGTTGTCTTTTTAAAGGAATTTAAAAGCCTTTTACTTTTCTCTAAAGTTGGAGCTGCTGCTCTTAAGTGTCTAGAACCAGACAGCTGCACAGAATCTGTGAGGAAAGTGGTGAGGAAATACCCAAAGGGGGTTAAGGTATTTGTCTTGAGCTCTGCAGATGAAATCACACAGTCAGGAGAGCTTCAGAAATGCAAATAACCTACTGAGATAATAACCATTATTCTGCCTGGTATGGCTCTTCAAGCCTTTGTGTCTGGAAGCCAGACTTTCTGGTCCTTCTCCTAATGTACAGGGTACTGGAAGAGGAAATAAAGGAGGAGAAAAGAAGGAAGATTGAACCCCTTCCACAGGGGACAATGTCTAATATATGCTTAACTTCACACATCATATTACAAGGACCATGACCACAAAAAATTGCTAATGCTATATTACATTTGTCATGTTCCTAAGGTTATTTTGTTACACATTTTCCATAGTGATCTGCTTGTTATATGAAAGTGAACAGTGCTTCTAAGGGACAGGAGCAGGTGGCTGGCTAATAAGAATGCATCTCACCCTTTGGCCAGCCTTGAGAGGAAAAAAATGTCTAGGGATGAATCAAGAAGTTAAACCTTTAAGGAAGGAAGCACAGCAGAGTCACTGGGGCCTACAATTTCAAAAGAATGCAGAGCATTGGGAACCCTGACACAGACCTAAGAAGGTACCTAGTATCTTAACAAGATAGAGCATGTGGACAACACAAA